TCACCTACTACCCTGGTCTTTAGAGATGAGGTGTTTATTTGCATGAGACATTTTCATGAATAGGAAAGATTCGGGGAACTGTGCATCACAGGATAATCTAAAGGTGCTTCTCCAGAAGAGGAAGAGAAATAACATAATATCTGTTCCAGTGAGATGAGAACAAGGTAAACAATGTTTCTGGAAAGTGAGGGCAGCCCGAGAGCAGGAGAATGGATAACTCTGTAGTCAGCACTGAATAGCAGGAGTCATAGGAGATTCAAGTTCATATACCATTCTTATTGCAGTTACTGTTTTTCATATTTATATACAACCTAAATAGATGCAGACTTACTACTGGAATTCAAATCCCGCTAATGCAATTAATTTACCCTGACCGGTTTTATGAGTGAGATTGGGAATCTTTGGGCTAATAATCCTCACGCGCCTATGAGGGCAGTTGCAGCTGTTCTCTGCGTTTCATTCAGAAGAATTGCAATTCACACTGTAAAATTACTCCCTCACCCACATGCTGAAGGCTGCAGTTGTATTTTGCAGGCATCTGCCAACAGTCCTCGAGGTTAATGGGTGACTGTATCCTTGAGAGGTGGCTAGTTCTCTCTGCAGTCATTCATCTTGCAAGTAGGAAATCCATTAAATTATTGTCTTGTGGCATTAGTCTGCTAGGTCACACTGGCACCAGCCTGTGCTAGTTTTGTAAATGGAGCTACTCTAGCTTTGTCACTATGTAGAAGAAGACATTAAGGTTCCTGGTCCTGGAAATTTTGTTTTAAATATAAAAACATTGCTTACAGTAATCTTGACAGGGGTCCTGAAAAAGGTAGGGCTGAAACTAGGAGAGGAAAGAAGGCTACAGCTCTTTCCTCAAATCCAAGTCTGTAGGTGGTTGTGACCTAGTTCTGGCTGCTGAGATTTTTCACTATAGCAGTTGGAGCTGGAATATCAGTTATCAGTTTTGAACGCTAGCTGGTGACTGCTTGCATAGCCATAGGATTTAAAAGCACTTTCTATGGCTTTATTTCCAGAAGGAACCAGAAAGCAGGTCTGGAAAATGCTTGCGAGGTGTTTTTGTTGTCGTCATTGTTGTCGTGATTGTTTTTCAGCCATAGAAGTATCAGAAATCTGTTAGAAAGAGTAATCTAATCTCCTGGAGCATATGTTAATGGGGCATGCAGTGGTCTCCCCCACCTGTGGAAATTTATGAGGTTTTAAAAGTTTGGGGCATTCCACTTTGGAGCATAAATAGGACCTTTAATGTTTTTCTTTTCTTTCTTTCTTTTTTTTTTTCTTCTCCTCTCCAGGGAAAAAGAGAGAGAGTCTGGGGGAAGGGCGAGAGCGAAAGAGGAGGTGGTAGTTCTGCGATATGCTGAAGGTGGTTTCAGGGTTTCCAGAATCACATTATAGCCAACGTGACCTGATAACGTTAAGATTCTGAGCCGATACAGATTGCCAGTTCAAATGTGCTCAAGAACATTGCTGTATTAACTTTTTTTGTGCTTCTAGACTTTACTCCTGATTAGATATTGTCCATCTGCTTTAGGAAGCTTTTTATTGCACCTCTTACAGCTATTCTAGGAGTCATTCTGCCACTTCGGTCTCCTGATCTGCTTCCTGATCCCTGCAGGCACTGTCACAGGGTGGTTGGCCTTTATTAAAGAACACATTTCCAGCCCTCTTTCACTTTCTCTTTAGACGTTTACTGCAGCTGGGCCTTCCTCTCTCTAACTTTGCTTCCATCTAAGGGTATTCAGGGGGTTGTCCCTGTGATAAGGGGACCCCTTAGGAAAATGCTTCAGTTCCCAGAAGCTAAGGCTGTTTGAGTTCCCTGCAGTTCTCTGCAGGCCCATGAGGTTAAAGGAAGAATAGTCTCCCATGAGGATGGGTCAAAACTAGCTCTTTGACCCTTAGGCTTTCAACGTTTGGGGCGTATTTCCAGATGTGTTTTGCTAACATAGCAATCTAGCAATGCAAACTGTGCTGGTCCTGCACTGCTGCCGTTGCTTTGGTCCAGTTCAGGAGAGAAAATGTTAGCTTCCGTTCTCCTGCCTGGAGACTGCCAAGCGTGCCTGAGACTGGTCACCAAGGGTAGAGGTGTGTACCTCAGCCAGGTGAATGGCTTGCATCCTGCAGGCATAGCAGCTGGAAAGTCTGTTGATGTGTTATCACACAAATTGGCGAAGTGAATATGTGCTGTCCAAAACACATGGGTTATTCTGTTGCTTCCAGACAGCAAGTGTATATTTTGTCAGCATATGTTCAGATGTATAGATACAAAGTAGTGCATTGCTAAGACCTAATAGTGGCAAGGAGAGACCTGGCATGGCACACCTGGAAGGTATGTTGCCTCCTGTACCGCTCACCTCTTCTGCATGCTTGGCCCTTTTGCTGTCTTGCACAGCTTCTGTGCTGGAGCACTCGTCCTGTGTTTAGGAGCTGCCCGAAATCAACTTGTGATGGAGCAGCTGTGGTCAGCAGGAGTCACTCGAGGGTAATCAGCGTGACCCCGACCCAGCTCAGGACCAAATGAGTGTGGTGGTTTTGGCAACTAGCCAGTTGCCCTCAGTGCTGTCTCTGCAGTTTCTGTTTTGTGGAGTTCATACAGTTTGTGTCATGGTTGTTTTTTGGCATATCCATTTTTAAATCTCCTTAGTATTGTTTTCTTCAGGTTTTAAACTTTGTCTTTCAATGCAAGGGGTTGTTGTTTCCCCAACCTTGAGCCCACTGACAGAGTAGTGGGGGGGATGTGTGCTTCCAGCTTGCAAAGGACTGAGGGGGCCACCTCTTTGACATTCAGCCAGACTGTTTGAATGTCACCTTCCCCACTGTAAAGTTCTGCCTCCACTTGTGATCCTTCCACGCTTCTACCATGACACTTTGCTGCCAGTTTGTGATCAGTCCCGGCTGGTGCATGGAAAGAATGACATTGTTAAAGTCTTTCTCCATTTTATATATATAACTTTCACTCTTAGGGGTTTTTTGTTTTTGTTATTTCTCTGCTATTTTAGTTATTGAAGGCTCTACCCGCTGTGGGATTTCCCCTTAGAGCTTCCTGCTCCTGCTGTCATGAGTTCATTTCTAGCCACAACTCTGCTCTAGGCAGCCACCACCATTCTAAACACTATGTTGCCCAACCTCTATCTATTGGTCACCTCAGCTTTTTCTTTGACAGAGGTAGAAGTCTCATTTTTAAGAATGCACCATCATATGTGTATATTTTAACATGCATAAGCAATGCTGGAAGGGTGGCAATGCACCATGCTGGCACTCTTTTTTTTTTTTTTTTTTCAGTTCACTGTACAATATGGCCACGGTGCTTTACGCACAGGGCTGCATGCTGAAAGCTGCAGGAACTTAGAGCTGCTGTGTCATGCAGAAGTGCAGGGCGCAGCTGATCAGCTGCTTCCAGCAAAGCAGAGGTTTCTGCTGAGATCTGGCAGGTGCTGAGGAATAGGTTGGCTCACCCTGACCACGAGGATGTTGTCACCTTGCAGCTCCTGGATCCATGGAGTTTGAAGGCATCCTACTTTTTTTCCTCACTTCAAACTTCATTACTTGGAATCAAATACCACTTCCCCATTTTGCTGTAGAGTTTAAAAAACATGCTAAATGAAGTAGCATAGCTGACACATTTAAAATCTTGACCAGTAAAAACACTGACTCTGCAGACTTTCTTCGTATAGCATTGGGTAGAATGCTGTTTTAAATGCATTGGCCTCCAGTATGTTGTCAATGCTGCCATCCATGAACCTAAACAAATGGGGCTGGTGAGGAAAAGTCAGGAAAGGAAATAAGGAATAGCACTCTTAGGCTAGGGATAACTTGAATTTCTGGTGCGTGCAAACAAGCAAAAATCCTATCTTCTCACCCACTTTGCCCATCTTTCATAGGTATTTTCCTTATGGTATGTCCAGAACTTCTGATTATCTTTAGAAACTTGTCTTTAGGCTGTCTGTAGAAACTGCACTGCTTTTAAAACAGTATTTTACTCTGATTTAAACATTTTTCACATCACTAACTGAAGCACTGAGGGTAGAATAATGAGCGCCTACCTTCCTGTGGGCTAGCCAGTGATTTTTGAAGTTAGTTAAATTTTGCCTGAAGTATACTCCTTATAACAATGGATATCTGATCACATATTCATTTCTCAGTACCCCTGGAGACAGAATTCATGCTGACCATTCAAATGAGTATTATCATGCAAGTAATAACAAGACTGGCTGGGAATAATTAAGGTATGTGTAGGTGTGAGAACCATAATGATTCTGATAAATTCCCACGTTAACAAGCGACCTGTTTGATTCAGTACTTAGTCTAATGGGAACGAGATCGTCCAGGAGGAATTTTCCTTGATGATATTTTGCCTCATAGAAACTGCATAAAAGCTATTTGTAGTAATGTTAATTTATAATTACATATTTAAATCTTGAGTAGGGGTGAGGGAGGGAAGCTGCGTTTAAAAACTAGGAGCATTATGTTGTCTTCAGTTCGTCACAGGAGTTCTCAAAGCCCAGGGAACCTTCCAAGGCTGTATGATGCCCTCTCGGATTTCTGTGATAGACCGTTGCTCTTGGTATTTTCCTTATCCGTACAGTCATACATACATATGTGATAGCCTACGTACATGCAGAGAGGATTATAAAATATTTTCCACCTCAGTTGCCTCTAGTTTCCTCAGGCCATATATCTAGTTCTGATCTTGGTACAGACAAGCCCCTAGGCAGACCAAACTAGGTTTATTTTATTTGAAAATGCACCTCAAAAACTTGCAGCTGTTCATATCTTTTATGTTCCTTTGCTTGTATTTTTCTTTAACTTAGCTTCATGCTTGATAGAACCTTAAAAGTGTAAAACAACAGGAGGATTTGGAAGCAGTAGAATTAACTTCCTTATATTCAGTGGGTCCCTAAAAATGACATCAATAAAAATGTAATCTCAATGCCTTGAAACTATTGTACAGTTTGACTCTGACTTATACTTACCTTCTTTTTTTTTTTCTGTTTTAGGCCAAACAAACAAAGTAGCCAAGGAGGCAGCCAACAGATGGACTGGTGTGTATGCATTTATGTTGCTTAACATAGCTGCAGATTAGAGCAATTTTAGTAAAAGACCTAGGATAAAGATATTATATTTTATTAGGACTTGATCTAGAATGACCTTCACCTTTCAGAGCATAAGGAAATATATTTTGAGTATAATTCATCATGATCCAAAACAAATGCGTTTTTGCAGTTCAATTACTGAACGTATTTCACATCACATAATGGACTTCCTCTTCTGATACAGCTTGCATACCATGTTGAAACATGCAGCTCGATTTTTTTGGTGGAGTTGAAATCTCTTGAGATGAGCAAAATTTTAATAGAAAGAGAACTGAGATGGTTTTGGTGAGTTTAGCACTGTCATAATTTAGAAAGTAATTCTCCTTTTCTGAATTTTGTTTCTGAAGAGTACAATGTTGTGTGGAATCTTACTGCTGCCAGCATATGAGGGATGCTAATATAAAGTAGCAAACCCATTCATCAGCTTTGACATGAGAGAGAAGTGCTACACAGTTTTTCAGAAGGCTACTGCAATAACATTTGCATGGAAATTCAGCTCAATTTTCTGTTGCTTAGCTTGCTATATTGCTATATATTTCCATTTTACAGAGCAAGGACTATGTATGTCCTTACTTTGTTTTTTTTAATTATTATTCATTTAGAATATTGTTTTTAATTTTTTTTGTTTAGAATTCATCTGCTGTTGATGGACTGCTCACTATCATCTGCTATGCCAAGTGCAGCAGGAGATTACAGTCATAGTTTTATTTTATATCCTCATTTGAATTGGGTTGTACACTGCTTATGAGGAAATGAAGTTATGTATTTAGAAAATCACTTCTGTGGGTACCATTGTCAAGCTTTCTACTGTTGATGACTGAGGCTGTTGTTGTCTTGAGAGAGGTGAGGGAACTATGCCTCTGTCTGCATAAGGTACTTTACTGTCTAACTGGAGAATTCGGTTATATGCTGTGGGATATTGTTTCTTTTGAAGAGACAATTTTAAAAACAAGTTCTGATGGTTAAAGAAAGAAAAGGGATTTCCAAGGTGTACAGGCACAGAGAACGCTTCCTGTCTCAAGCAGTGGTGTGATTTATGGGTTTAGCAATGAAGTAGTGAGTTTCAATCAACAGTGCAAAGAAAGACGATGTTACACTGAAGGGAGTGTATATGCTAAAATAATAGTAATGTGATGCCAAAAGAGAAATGCTAACCGAAATAAAGCTATTTAAATGAATTTTAATTTTTTTACTTCTTTCAAGCTAAGTATGTATTATCTGAACAAACATACACAGGACTGGAAAGGAATGTATGGTTAGTCTGAATCTGATTTTGCAGCTGAAGACAATCGCACAGTAGGTGTCTAGTTGAAAAAGGACCCATAAAATACTTATTATGCATATTCATGTGTTCCTCATCACCATATAACAGATTTACAGTGTAATTGTAGCTTTTAGTCTTGTTTTAGGAGAAGAACAAGAAAAGATCAAGGCAAAAAAGAAAATGTATTTATTTAGTACTGAGTAAAAGAATGTCAGTAATGTCATTAGCAAAAGCCTTGCTTTTTCTGTTTTAGATATATTTAATAATGATGTTCAGATACTTTCCAGCTACCTACTTTTTTCATGTATGTGGTGGTAGTGAAAATGGAAGAGTTTGGTTGTAGCCAGGATGATAATTCCTGCTTTCTTATTAAAAACTGAATGGTTTTTATTCTGTTTACAGATAACATCTTTTCAATAAAGTCCTGGGCCAAACGTAAATTTGGATTTGAAGAGAGCAGAATTGACAAAAGTTTTGGAATCCCAGAAGATTTTGATTACATTGATTAACGTTCAGCAGCTGATTGCTGACACAGTTGTACATAGTTTGTTAAGTATTGCTCAGCTGGCATTTATATGTATATCTGATTCTTCTCTAAACAACCTATCCCCTTTTAATTTTCAGTTTTTGTTAAAGTTAATAAAATTCTAAAAATACTTGTTGCACTTTCTTTTTACCATTTTTTTCTCCCTGTACACTCTGGACAGTAAATCGCTTGGTACTTGTGTGAGACAAGCTAGGCATGGACAGGGGTTATAGGGAATAATTACCCCTTTTTTTTCTTTTGCTAAACTGGAAGTAATATCAGTGAGAGCTAGGAGCTCCAAGGAATTATGTTTAAACAGGTTGAAGGCTTAGGAATAACACTAGAAGATAGGCAAGAGAATAAAAGTTTTCCCTGATCAAGATAATGAAATACAGAAGTTGCGTAATCCATTGAGGGAGAACGTGAGGCAGTATGGAGGTGAATAGAAAGGCCCAGGCTTGATTTCAGCTTGTTCTTTATTATGTTGCTAGAGCTGCTTGTGAGTTTGGAGACAAAACTTCTTGTTGTTGAAAAACGTAGTTCATCAGAGCTAAATCTTTTCTTGTAAGTGCAGCAGATGATGACAACATTCATGTTGAGAAAGCTTCTCTGGTTGAGATTGAAGCTGCATTGGAGAGAAGGCAAAGCAAACCATCCATCCAGCTGATCTGGAGTAGACTTTGGATGCTAGTTTGGGATAGGAGAGACCAAATTCCAATTGCTGTTCAAAATTGGGCCAATTTGGGCTATTTGGATTTAGGTACATTTTTCAAATTTAAATTAAGAATGCAGCCAACCAAAATAATAACAAATTTCAGAAAGTCTCACTTTTGTTTGGTGAAATTTCACAAGCACCTCACTTTCTGTGAACTTCTGCTTTCTAGCTCTGGTCGTTGCGTGGCCACAAAAAGGGGGATAGAGAGTATAGACTGGTCTTTGATCTCCCAAGTCTATGGACTGCAAGGCCACATCCCTGCTGTGCAACTCCAGAGTTAGGAGTTTGTCAGCAAGGATATAAGCTATACCTTTTGAAGACACTTGTACCTACTGCTAGATATATGTATCACCAAGAAGTGATCTGTCTGCCTTTCACATAACCAAATAAATAATACTGTAGAGTATTGCTGAAAAGGTAACAACAAGCTAAAGATACCCTCAGAAATCTGCCTCCTGCAACCTTGCCAAATTAAAAATTTTTGAAGCAGTTCAGTATGTATTCCAAGGATTTCAGGTGTGCTTCTGGCTATTGTCTAGTCCCATGTCTGTGATGATGGCAAAGTTGTTGGGAAGATACTGAGTGGAAACTTTTCTTCTTATGGAAGTAGCAAGCTATCTGTTGCCTCAGGAAATGTATGTGATGCCTGGCACAAAGCAAAATGTCACTGTGCTTTCAATAACATTGCAATGGACACTTCTCCTTTTCCATGTTTGGAAAGATTTATTCCTAATATATTAAGTATTTAACATATTATCTGTTACTAACTGAACTGGTAGAAGATTAATTCATGTCTGTAGTACAGAGTTGAGTGCAGAGTTTCTTACTAGGCCTGGCTTTTGCCTCATAAGAGAGTGCCACCCATCAAAGCTAAAAAGTGATGGTGCCAAAGCAGAATATTGATACTCATGCAGTTTGCGTGGTTGTTCGTCTTGGATTTTGTCCTGTAAGGCAATCGAGAAAGAGCTTTTTATCTGTTCTTTGTGAAACATTGCTCTTAAGTGATTTTCTTGATTGGCTAAATGCCCCTGTTTTTCCGTGAATCTGTTCTGTACCACCTGACAGGTGTCAGAAGCTCTTAAGCACATCTGCCTTTGAAAGTGCAGATCTGCCACACACAAGACGCTGATGACTCAAAAGCCTCGTTTGTCTTAAGGGATGTCGAGTGCATGAACTTGGTGGTGGTGCTTGCTTTCTATAATCATTTTCACACGGATGAACTTCTACCCTTATTGACCAAGTGGTCTCAAATAACTTACGCAGTCTATAGCCCTCAGTGCACAAAGACTTCCTCTGGTACCTGAAACAGCTGTCTTATATTGTAGGGGAAAAGGTCTTTTACTAATTGCTATGGTTTTGGCTGCCTTCCAAATTCAAGAGAGAAATGAAGATGACCAACTATTCAAGTTTAGTTGCAATACTTGTGGCTTCCTGTCCGTAGTGTGAAACCACTGTGGACTACAATAGAGTTACTAAATATTAGTATAATTATTAGTATAATTGGTACTATTACAGTAAATAACTATTAAGTATAATAATTACATAACTGTACTTGGGGTAGACTTGCTTAGAAATGTTACAGACAACCAGCACGAACAATACTTTTTAAATGTCAAACGCAGCTCTCATGCTTTGGTCACAAAACTTAAGCAGTTCAAGCGCAAGGAATTTCTAGCAATATATTTTGGAAGACCTTTGGTTTTGGTTCATTAGTACAGACTAGACCATAGACATGCAGTTGTACTCGTAAGTTCTGTCTTCTGATGTTGATTATTAAGCCTGGCAAGAGAATTTATCTCTGTCCGTAAAGATACAGTTTTGCAATAATTATAAATTTCTCCCCTAAGCAGAAGAAAGGCGCATTACTGTCGGAAAACTGATGCTTATTCCTCTAGTGGAATTGATTTATTTTACGTTACCTTTCTCATGTTTCTTTGTTTTTAGTATAGGTAACTTTCAAGAAGAAAAGCAAGTCCGATCCCTTCTGAGGCAAATGGGAACAATTTGTCCATCTTGAATATTCCAAGATACTTTCCAGCTGCTGCACCTGCTCATTTTTAGTTGTTTTTCTTAAAAATATACACGGCAGAATTCTCAATCCCATAGTATGGGACTGTGATTATACGATTTAGAGATGTGTATGTTCGCTCTCTTCTTTTAAGAGAAGCTGAGACTTTTGGTTTTTGCTGAATTGAAAGTTACAGGCAGTTAAAATGATTTTCCTTTTCCTGAGATGTTTTTGGCTATTAGCCTCTAATAAAAATGAGAAGTCAGTCCCACCCTGCGTCCCAGTTTGTTTCTTCAGAGTTTTCTTGAGAGAGGATCTCGGATATTTCTAGACAGTCTGATATAAGAAAGGTGTGTATGTGTGGTGGGGAGGAGGGTGGTTGAACGCTCACTTCTGCTGTCACCCTTGTGGTTATGTCACTGCTGAATTCTGTTAAGTTTTTTTTGCCCATGTAAGGTAAATATTTTCAACTGTTATAGCAAAGTCAACAGGTCAGGCCCTTACTACAATTCGGGTTTAAAGTTAAGAAAATTAAGTGTAAAATATGAGAATCAAAGACGGGTTTTTTTAGCACAGTTTACAGACATCTGCAGCCAGTATCAGGCCCAGCTTTTCAAAATAATGTCACGACGAGTTTATCAACACAAAGGCAGGCTGAAAGGTTGGGTGAGCCTGCTGCCTGGGACTGATACTGGTAAGGCACTATGAAGCGAACCTAGACACAGGGTAAAATACGTGTTTGTACCTGCTCTGCTGAGACTGTTACTGGTTTTGCAAAAAGTAGTTCACTGACTATGAAATAATCTATTCTTCCTCAGCTTTTCTTTTACAATCATCCTCACGGTCTGTACAACATCACGCTTAAACTCTAGGACTCCTTTTGTGGTACTTGCACAGCATTAAAATGTTAAAATCAAAAGGGTTTGGGCACTGAGGTTAATTCAACTGCTAAACCTTTTGTTACCCCATCCGCTGAAATGTCATTACTTGTACTTCCCAGAGCTCGGGGCACAGTAACCTGCATGGTTTAGAAGGGAAAACTGAGGCACTGAAGCAACTGGCAGAGTGAGGCAGTGACTCGGTGGCAAAGCTGGAACTGAAACTTCCTGGGAGGACGATGGCAAAAGCAGCCCAAGCCGTCGCAGTAGTGTCTCACGGCGAGCGAGCGGCTCGGTGGAGGAGCTCCTTACCGAGTCCTCCTGTCAGCCGGGCATGTCGCCAGCAGTACGGGAGGGTCTGGCTGGTGCTTATCTCTGCCTTGTTTCTTGTGGAGGTGAGGTTTGTACAGTTAGGCTTTCTGTCGTTTCCCTCCGTCTTTCTTTTCCCTCCACTATTCTTTAAATTTGGTGATGAATTTCAGCCAAATTTAATCTGAGGAGTTGCAGTGGGAGTTCCCGGTTTGTCTGTTTTGCTGGTCTGGCCGCCTGGGAAATACAGGCTTTTTCTTTCCCACCTGGTGGCTGAGGGACTTGAGAAGGGGCAGAGCGTGCTGGGCGATGGGAGGAGGAAGGAAAAACGTTGCCGACGGCTGCGAAAGACCTTTGGTGCGTTTGCTGCCCGGTGGCCGCCGGGTTTACGCGAGGGTCTGGCAGTGTTGCTGGGGATGAGGTTGCACAGCATGTGCTTCATTTCAGTGGGAAGGAACCGGGCTCTGGGAAACTGGTCTCTTGGCAGCTAGACTTCATTATTTCTGCTGCTCGTGGAGCTATGATGATTATGCTGTGTTCTCAGGCCACTGTAAATTTGCCCAGGGTTTTAGGGAGACAGAGATTAGGTGCCTTGCCCGCGCTGTGGAAGCAGCGTACTGCAGAAGCGTATGTTTGGGGGCTTAAATAGCAGAAGTCTATGGCTAGTCTTCAGTGTCACACAAGTGGCTGGATCCTTCCATTTGTGGTTAGCTGCTGACAAGCTGCAGCATTTGCATAAGTATTCATGCGTTTAAGGGCTTGCCCCTTTGCAGTGGCAATTGCTGGCCGCTTCAGCTGCTTGTTCCTCTTGCTTTTTCTCTTCCATTCCTCCGCTGTCATTTCCCTTTCAAATTTGCTTGCAGAAATTACGTAGGCTGAACGAGCAACACATGCCAGTCAGTGCAGATGGTTGTCTGTCTTACTCCTCCTCTCGCTGACACACACGTCAACACACGCACCTTCCAGTGCAAGTGGGAAGGCGTGCACGTATAAATTAGACTCGCCTCTTCAAACTGTACTTCCAGAAAGTTATATGCCAAGAAGATTAGAGGGAAGAATGAGTGAGCAAAGCACCACATGCGCTACTGAACTTCTCAGGGCCTCTCTAGAAGCTTTCTAACGCTCCACACAGAAATGAATAGTCTTTACTCTACAGGTAGTTTGGTCAGCCTGTCATTACTTCACCAAAACTGGTCGGAAACATTTTCTTTTTGGGAAAAAAAAAAAAATCATCGCTGGTGAAATATTTGCAACTAGCAGCTTTCAACCAAAACCTGCAGGGCAATTTTCTGCTTCCAGTTTTTTGATGAAAGCTGACGTCATTGTGAGAAAAGAAGAACCTTTCTACGTGAACGATTTCGTTTAAAGAAAAGCCCATCCTTTTGTATCATAACATCTTAGTGGTGTATCAGCAACCAGCTCTAAAGTAAACCCTATAAGCAAGCTGAGGGGTACAATTTTTCTGGTAAGATGATAAAGTGGAACTCTGATGAAGCTCAGAAAGCAAGCTGTTAAAAATTAGGCCTCTTGGAGAAGCCAGTAGAGGAAGAAGGTGTGTTTGAAGTGAAAATGGCCTGAGTTATAGTCTGCATACTGAAACGTGTCTTTCAAGGACTCACCTCTAACTGGACTTTTCTGCTCATTTTACCTGTGTTTAGGCTGAACCTCTGCAGAAGTCTGAAGATGAGATTTTTATATTACTGGGCAGGAGCTGTGCTTTTTCTCATTTGCATAGTCTACGGTAGGAAATCTGGGTTTTTTACCCCCTTTCCCTTTCTATTAAAAAAAAAAAGGCACAAAGAAGTCAATCACATGTTTTCTTGCATTATACTCACTAGCTGTGCAAAATAAT